AATCCTTACTATGTGGACGCCGAAAGAGGTACCTCAAATTTTAGGAAACCCCCTAGTGGGAGCACAAGCAACGGTCATCATTCCTACTTGTAGCAACTACGACAAGGCAGACACAGCGCACCCCCAAACTCTAAACCCTAAACCTTAAACCCAAACTCTAAACCCTAAGTTCAGCGTGCAGGTGGGGAACACGATCACCCTGGCGGACATCTCCGCAGGTACCTTAAGGAGCTTCAGAGTGAGGATGTAATCTCTGGAGCAGCATCTGGGCTATTGCATGAGGTTACCTGTGGGGGGTTTCCCAAAATCAGGGGTATCTTTTTGCGGTCCCCATAGTAAGGATTACGTTCTTGGTGGGTCTATACAGGGGTCCCCTGTTTTTTTTTGGGAAAAGGTCATATCTCCCAGAAGTTTGGGGTGCGGGATCGAAACCACAGGCTAAATCCCAAGCCACCGAACTCACTAAACCCTAGCACCCTGAGCATTCCCGCCAAGACCTGGGACCGGTTACGGTTTCAGGTTTAGGGTTTAGGGACCCTAAGCCCTATCCGCTATCCTGCTGCAGTACTAGCCTACATCAGAATTGCAATGGAGGTTTCCCAGAATTAGGCGTACCTTTTGGGGGGGTTCTGTAGTGAGGACGGTAGTATTTTGGGGTCTATATTTGGGTACCTTTGTTTAAGGAAGTTAGTCAATTCCTTATCTCGATCTGGGCGCGGCAGACCTTCGGTCTCTGATAGCCTTGGGAGCTACCGAGGTGAGTTGCGCGCTGCTTGATGCAATGAAGCTTGTGGGAGCCCGAGGACCCTGAAGCGAAAGAATTCTGGGAGGTTTCCCAAAATTGGGGGTAGCTTTAAAAAGGGAATATAAGGGTTACGTAGGAGTATATATAAGGATTTATAGGGTGTAGGGTTTCCCAAGGGGTACATTTGAGGGGTCCCCATAGTGGAGATCCAGTGAATCTACTACATGGGCAATGCTTTTTTGGGGTTCCCTGTAATGAGGAGGGTTTAGGGTTTGAGGTTTAGGGTGTAGGGTTCAAAAAGATATATTAGGGTCTCTATGGGGTCCCTAAACCCTAAACCCTAAACCCTAAACCCTAAATGGGATGTATTCATTCAGGCTTGCAGTCGAGCAACTCTTACACTCGCACTGCTTGCTCTAGAGGTCCCTGAAGCCTTGTCTACCAGGCTCGCCATGTAAGCTACAGTCCAAACTCCTTATAGGGGGTCATACAGGGATTTCTCCCTGGAGCATTATAGGGGCTATTTAGTGAGATACTAGGAGTTTAGGCCATAGGTCATGTACAGTTGGCTCCTTTTGTCTCCCTTTTGCGGCCGGGACTCGCACTCTCTTGGCCACTCCTGGCACTCCACCACTTTGGATTTTTGTGGAATCCACATCCAAGATTACTCCTTCTAGTCTATACACCCTCAATCTCTGGATTTTTCCCTCTATCAACCTTCCAGAGCAGAAGAAAAGATGTGTCAATCTCTACATTTCACCCAACCTCTACATGAGGTGTACTCGAAGCTCTTTAATGGGGTTATATCAGGGATTATATAAGGGAAGTATTATAGAGGTTATTCAGGGGGATACTAGGAGTTTAGACTATAACCCCTATAATCCATTACATAACCCTTATATAGCAGTTTCCATCTCATTTTCCATTTTCTTTTCCATTTGATTCTCCATTTTTAAGGGGGGATACTAGGAGTGTAGGCAATGGCTCGCATCTCACCACCCGTAAACCAGCCCGCCCTTGTCTTTCTGCAGCAAGTATCCCAGGGTTTAGGGTTTTGGGCGGGGGGGGGAAGGGAGGTGAGGAATTTGTTTTGAGAGATGCATAGCTGATATCTTGGGAAGGATGGGTCAGGAGAAGGGTCCTCTGGCATGCAAGGGTTTAGGGGTTTCGGGGGTTTAAGGGTTTAGGGGTATGGGGGTTTAAGGGATTAGGGTTTAGAGAAGTCTCGAGGCGTTCGACGAGAAGTTGAAGTCGCAGTATCCAGTAAACCTGCCGCGCTTTGCATGCCATGTGTGAGATCTTGGACCGTGTGGCCGCATGACTACCAAGTTGGGGTTTAGGGTTTATGCCTGGGTTTTGGATTTAGGTTTAGGTTTGCCAATATGACCAAGCGATCGCACGATCTGTTCTGGTTTCTGCTGCGCGTAACTTGAAGAAGGTGGGGCAGTTTCCTATGTCAACGCAGCGAAACGAGGTGAATACTGTAGAAGCCTACAAAATTACCAATATGTTTTCCATTGTAATCCTGAAATAGCCATAAGATAAAAGACACCAAGACCCTACCTATTCTAATTCAATCCCTGTATTACTGTCCTGAACCTTGGATCTTGATTGGCACTGCCGACTGCGACTTCTGCACTCCATCCCTTAAGCTTTACAGCCGCCCTGCCTTTGCAGAACCTGATGCGGTGGTACAACCTCTGTTCCGTCCTTGGATGGCCTCCCTGCACTTCTGAAATGAAAGTTCTCAAGACAGAGGTGCTTTTCTCAAATGAAGGGATGGACAAGAAAATGAAACTCTATTTCCCCTAGCCAGTCTTGTGTAACTGCGGAAAACTTGAAGCATATTGGCCATCCTCTGCTGCCCCAAGCCCAGTATTGAACCCTAAACCCTAATCGTTAAACCCTAAATCCTCATACCCCAAGAGTTCTCCAGCGAAGTTTTTGTGAGCCCAAGAACGGCAGTTTAGCCCCTTATGCTTGCACATTCCTAGGATTCCTTGGACTTTAAAAGGTTCAGGGTATGGGGTTCTTACACATTCCTACGACTTTCAAGAGTACCCCTGCTTCAAGGCGCCCCATCGAGTTCTATAAGCCCTTATCTAAATCCAGTTTCCATGTTCTTTTCCATTCGATTATCCATGATGGGGCAATATTCCTAACCAACCCTAAACCCTAAACCCTACCCCCCAAACCCCATATGTATATAGTACTATATGCCAGGGTTTTTTTTGCAATCCGTACTGGAAGCTTTTAGCAATAGATCCCTTGATGCATAAAGTCCGCATCTACCACACAACCGGAAGTCCAACGCGTGGCCCCAGAACTTAACGGCCTGGGGGCCAGCCAAGCACTGCAGAACCCGAGCCCAAATATCATTGCTTTGTAATACCTAAATAATTCCCATATATACCCCTGTAAGGGTACCTGTGTACCCCCAGCATACGTTGGTCTTAGCAGTTGGGATTAAGGAGATCTGTACTCTAGACTTTCAGAAGCTGATCCATAACCCTTTGCCCTAAACCTTGTGGCGATTTTCCCAGGCCGGAAGTTAAGCCCAAGCTCCCAAGTCCCATACCTCACACCTTAAGCCCCAAACTCTAAATCCTAAACCCGAAACCCTAACCCTCAGACCCCAAAGTTCTATCAGCTTCCCTATCTTTAGAAACAACTAGAAAGCAAAGTGCAGCAACGCGGCCTGAATTGTGATATTTGCAGGTTTTGGGGTTTAGGAGTGTAGGGTTTCAGGTTTAAAGACCTGGTGCTCAGCGGGAGACGAGGGAACGGAACTCTATAGTATAGCAGTCCTCGTAGAATCCCGAAGAACAGTCCCTACAACCCATTATTCATGAGGCAGATATTCCTAAACCCTGAATAATCTGAAACTCTAAATCCCGCACCTAAACGCTAAACCCTTCATCCTAGGCCATAGGCCCTAAATCCAAAAACCTAAACTTTAAAAAATCCTAAACCCCTCAACCCGCGCCCTAAAGTCCAACTCCCCACCCAACAAAAAAAGAAAAAGTAGAGTGAATATGGAATTGCCCAATGTCCTAATCAGATACCCATAGACCCCCATATTCCATCCATTTAAGGGGGATTACAAACCCTCAGCCCAAATCCCTAAACCCTAATGACTGCCTAAGCCCTCAACCCAAACCCCTAATCCCTAAACCCAAATCCCCAAATCCTTAAACCCTAATCCCTAAACCCTAATCCAAAAATCCTAAATCCTAAACCCTAAGCCCTAAACCCTAAAAAGGATTATAGGTTGGGTACTGCCCCCACTCAGTAACAGTCTATATTAGGGGTCCTATAAAGGGCTGTATATAACCATGTTATATTTAATATCCAACTGTTACTGAGGGGGGGGAGTACCCAGAATATAGCCCCCAATATACTATAGTCCTTAATATAGGGACCCCACAAATGGTACCCCTATTTTTGGGAAACTCCTACTGAAATTATGAGCCCTCAACTCACGTCGAGGCACCGGCCAACCTGAGTTCCAGACAGTGCTGGGAGGAGCTGCTCCTCAAAAGGCCTGGAGGTTAGGGTTTAGGGTTTAGGGTTTAGAGTTTAGGGTTTAGGGTTTGGGGATGAAACTCTAAACCCTAAACCCTGGATGTCTTTGGGCTTGCGAGCTTAGGGTTTCGGTTCGGATTTTATGATTTTACGGTTTTGGGTTCAGGGTTTTAGGCTTTAGGGCTAAGGGTTTGTGGTTTTAGGTCTAGGGTCTTGGAGCTTGGGGTTCAGGATTTGCTTCCGGGCGATTCTTGCATGCGCCAATTGAATCCCATGTCCGTCATTCTAGAAGTGTCATCTGTGGCTCATGCAGGAATGTTATATAGGGTTTAGGGTTTAGGGTCACGTGTCTACGTGGAAGGTTTTTGCCTGGGGACTATGTAGTAGGACTTTTCCCGCGGGGCTTTATCCAGAAACTCGGTTTAGGGTTGGCAGAGTTTGTGTCTCTGGCTTTGGTCTTTGGTTTTTGGTAGGGTTAATGACAGATCTTGGGAGTCCTGGTAAGGTTTCCCAATTTTGCAGGTGATCTCATAGAGGATTGTACCCGAACATATTAATACATAAGGTGTCTACGAGATGACGCAAGGTCCTTATGTAGGGCTGAAAGGGCTGTAGGTGCTGATCTAAAAGACGTCAGCTACTACGGGGGTAGATTTGTAAGTGATCTTCAAGTCTTGTTTGCCGTGCGCCAGGCAATGGGAAGAGTTTTTGCACCCTGCATTGTATACAGATGAGTAGGCGGCAATCTGAGTACGACCTCTGGTGCTCGTGCGTGCCCCTTGTCATCGCTGTTCTTATTACTATAATATACTATAATAGGGGGGGGGGGGTGCCATTTTGCTTTCAATCATCCCTATATAACCCCAATATATACCCTATTATACTATAATTAGCAGTTTCCATTTTCTTTTCCATTATCCCTATATAAATCCATATTTCATGCCAATCCACCCCACTGCGCCTGGCCCTCTGAGAAAGGCAGCCCCCAAGAAAGAGGCCGCTCCCAAGAAGGACTCCGTGCACGACGTGACTTCAATTTGGGTTGCCCCAAACCCTAGACCCCTAAAGCCCTAAACCCATTTCAACCCCCAAATCTCGAAACCCCTAAACCCCTAAATCTCGGAACCCCGAAAGCCGCAACCTTGGCTTCTTTACATCCTCCTTTTGTCGCTGGCGTCTACACGATGCATGTATACTGCAGAAGTCCTCTGCAAAGGTTCTGTTCTCGCTGCTGTTCATAGTTTAGGGCTTAGGGCTTAGG